CGTCGCTCCCATTGCGGGCAGCTCGGGTATGGTATGCAGTTCTTCAGGGAGTGGTCGCAGGCCCACTCCTTCCCCCGGTGGAGGGCTGGGGAAGAATCTTTTCTTCAAAGAGCTGCATTCCATCTCCGAGCACACAGAGCAATGTGAAAGTGTGTAACGGCCCCGTGCCTCACCACTCTCATTCTCCTCTGTCTCTGAGGGTGCGGATGGGAGTGTGTGTCGTCCCTGGACCACGCTGCTCCCATCCCCCTCTATCGCCAAGCACCTGGCAGAGCAGATGCCCGTGGAAAGCTGGTCCTTCCCTGGTCTCCTCTGTCGGGGCACGGAGCTCCACCGTGCACCCGCGAGGGGGTAGCACCTCCACGTTTGCTGGTCTCTCCGCCCCGCTGCCCATCCGGGGGGACGTCTGTAGCTCGGGTATCCCACTGGATCGGTTCTGGGAGCTTGGTTAGAGCTCCCCGGCCTGTCCCACTGGGTCGCCCGAATGATCAGACTCGGCTATGCGACTCAGTTCGCACGATCTCCTCCCCATTCCGGGGAGTTCACTTATGATGGTCGGTGGCTATGCCCCGATCATGAGCGGAGATTGCCGCCCTGCTGGCGAAGGGTGCAATCGAGACTGTCCCTCCAGCCGAGATGAGGTCTGGGTTTACTTCATTGTCCCCAAGAAGACCGGTGGGTTACGACCGATCCTAGATCTTTGCGTTTTGAACCATGCTGTGCCGGTCAAAATGCTCACGGCCAAACGCATTTTCGAGTGCGTTTGGCCTTAGGATTGGTTTGCAGCGATGGACCTGAAGGATGTCTCCAATGGAGACTCTCCATCTTACCTCGACACAGACCGTTTCTTCGGTTGCGTTTGAGGGAGAGGCATATCAGTACACAGTTCTCCCATTCGGCTTAGCTCTGTCTCCTCGCGTCTTTACGAAGACTGTCGAGGCAGCCCTTGTTTTCCCTTCGCGAACACGGGGTTCGCATCCTGAACTACCTCGACGATTGGCTTATCCTAGCACAATCTCGAGAGCAGGTTTGCGAACACAGAGAACTTGTGCTACAGCACCTAGGCCGTCTGGGCCTTCGGGTCAATCGGGAGAAGAGCTAATTTTGCCCCATGCAGAGGATCTCTTTTCTCGGAATGGAGATAGATTCGGTCACCATATCCGCGCAGCTCACGAGCGAGCGCGCGCACTCACTGCTGACTTGTCTTCAACAGTTTAAGGGCAAGAGCGCGGTCCATCTGAAACTCTTTCAGAGGCTTTCATATGGCATCCACAGCTGCGGCGACGCCGCTAGGATTGCTTCATATGAGACCGCTTCAGCTGTGGCTTCGCGATCGAGTCCCGAGGTGGGCATGGCATCGCGACTCGCTCAGAGTCCCAGTGACTCCGAACTGCCGTCAGACCTTCCCGTGGTCGAACCTCAGCTTTTTACGGGCCGGGGTCCCTCTTTGCGAGGTTCCAGGCATGTCGTTGTCTCCATGGATGCCTCTACCACGGGTTGGGGAGCCATGTGCAATGGGGATGCAGCCGCAGGTTCCTGGACAGGACCCCAGCGTCTCATGCACATCAATTGCCTCGAGCTGCTGGCAGTACGCCTGGCCCTGCACCGCTTTCGAGCACTGCTCAGGGGTCAACACGTACTTGTCCGTTCGGACAATACCGCTACGGTAGCGTATATCAACCACCAGGGTGGTCTACGCTCACGTCGGATGTCGCAGCTCGCACGCCACCTCCTATTATGGAGTCAGAAGCACCTGAGGTCCCTTCGTGCCGTTTACATTCCAGGAGACCGGAACCTGACAGCCGACGAGCTGTCAATCCAACCAATCTCCGGCGAATGGCAACTCCATCCCCAGACGGTCCAGCTGATTTGACCAGTTCGGGGAGGCACAGATAGACCTGTTCACCTCCCGGGACTAATCCCACTGCGCCCTGTTTTACTCCCTGTCCGAGGCTCGGCACAGACGCCCTGGCGCACAGCTGGCCGCGAGGCCCACGCAAGTATGCATTTCCCGCAGTGAGCCTTCTTGCACGGATTTTGTGCAAGATCAAGGAGGACGAGGAGCAGGTCTTGTTGGTAGCCCCCTATTGACCCACCAAGACGTGTTGGGTCGGTGTCCGATCGGTGTCATGCTTTCCTTCCTGCAGGAAGGGCTGGAGTGTAGGCTGTCGCCCTCCACCCTTAAAGTTTACGTCGCGGCCATTGCCGCGTCTCATGGAGCAGTTGAAGGTAAGTCTTTGGGAAAGCACAACCTGGTCATCAGGTTCCTGAGGGGAGCGAGGAGACTGAATCCTCCTTGCCCTCCCCTCGTGCCCTCTTGGGACCTCTCAGTAGTTTTAAGTGCTCTGCAGAGGCCTCCCTTTGAGCCCTTGCAATCGGTAGAGATTAAGTTTCTGTCCATGAAGACAGCACTCCTGGTTGCATTGGCCTCCATCAAGAGGGTAGGGGACCTGCACGCATTCTCCGTTGACGAAGCGTGCCTGGAATTCGGGCCGGCTTACTCTCACGTGATCTTGAGACCCCGACCTGGATATGTGCCCAAGGTTCCTACCACTCCCTTCCGGGACCAGGTGGTGAACCTGCAAGCGCTGCCCCTGGAGGAGGCAGACCCAGCCTTGGCACTGCTCTGTCCGGTACGTGAGCTCTGCGCCTACGTTGACAGAACGCGGTGTTTCAGGACCTCAGACCAGCTCTTTGTCTGTTATGGGGGGAGCCAGAAGGGAAGGGCTCTCTCAAAGCAACGGCTATCTCACTGGATAGTGGACGCCATCGCTTTGGCTTACCAGCAGCAAGGTCGTCCGTGCCCCCTTGGTGTGACGGCCAACTCCACTCGGAGTGTGGCTTCCTCTTGGGCTTTAGCGCATGGCGCCTCGCTAACAGACATATGCAGAGCTGCAGGCTGGGCGACATCGAACACATTCGCAAGATGCTTCCCAGTGTACCTTGGTGTTCCTGTGTTAAAGTAGGACTCCTGGTTATAAGCTAAGTTGTTAGGAGTCCAGACTTTCACAGGGCACTGGAAGACAGCTGTGAAGGTGGCGTGATGGCACGGACCCCCATTCTCCGTCATTCCGACGTAACTCGGAGTGACTACAAAAGGGAACGTCTCGGTTACGGATGTAAACCTCGTTCCCTGAGTAGGGAACGGAGACGTTACGTCTCCCTGCCACTTCCGCTGTACCGCTGGGTAGACGCCTGAGTTCAGTCTCGGCTCCTCAGCGAAGACATACTGCGGTTGCGTTCACTTCCTCTTTTTATACCCACGGGGTAGGGCAGAGATACGCTATGAAAATTCCGCAGACCCAAGGCATTTTCATGCCATTGGCTCGTTTTTAAATACTCTAAGAGGATTGGCTTTCTATATGCGAAACCCCAATTCTCCGTCATTCCGAAGTAACGTCTCCGATCCCTACTCAGGGAACGAGGGTTACATCCATAACCGAGACGTTTTGAACTCAGATAAAATATGAAGCACGTTTTTTAGGTTAGCTGACAAAACATTTTTAGCTACTCTGTAGTCTCTAGAGGAAGGCATTCTTTGAAATAATTTGAATTAATCATGTTACACTTTTGAATGGACAAGTTCGAGCACGATAACTGTTTTGATTAAAACAGGAAACGGGTGACTTGCTAAGTCAGAGACTCCGATAATTCTGCTTTAAGGAAATTGTTCTTCAGTCAGGCATCGTGTGGAGAGAATCCCTGGAACACAGAGTGAGGAGCTGACCCCAATACTCTGAGACCATACCACAGAGAACGTGTATCTCTGTGTGTTACTTAATTATTCATCCCCTCTGCTTCCTTTGAGAGAAACATTTTTGTTATCATTATTGTTATTTTTAGATAAAAGAGGCCGACATGCCTTTACGGGCTGCTGAAATCCTCCTGAGACTTCTAGCCCTGCAAAATGGACAAAACCATTGCAACCTCTAGCAGTTCTTACAGTAAGCAATCCTAAGCGTGTCCCACTTTGATGCAGTATTTGAATGCATCTGGCCAGATGAATTGAGGTGACCGCGTGTGAATAGCCCCCGTGCAGGTGTTCGGGCGCTGTTATGATCCTGTGTACCCTGTTTGCATTGCATGTATTGAAATAATCCAGGAAAGCATGGGGTTTCCTGAAATATGATGAATAATCAAGCACTCAGCTGTACTGCTGGACAGCCTTGTGCACCAGTGGTCTGGCTTTCAAGGTGTAAATTTGTGACGGTGCATGAACAACAGCTGTAGATTTGTTAGAATCGATTAATCTCTGTCTGCGGTGACAGAGGAAAACTTGTGCAACTACTAAAATGTAGAGATCAAAATAAACAGACAAAGCCTCCAAGTGCTCTGTTTCTATGTGGATTAGGAATAAATTGTGTGTGTGTGTGTGTGTGTGTGTGTGTTTGTGTTATGTATCTATACAGTACATAAATATATAAATACAGTATATAGCCTATATATTTTACACCAAATTTTTGATTTGGCAGGCAAAGGTTTCCCATTAGTGCAATTTTAAAAACAGATTTCCCCATTATCTTTTAAAAAAATAATAGCTAATAATAATAATAATAAGGTGTTAGAAACATTTCATTTTTTCAAGAATTTCAGGATTTAAGTGCGCCTTGTAGAAATGTTTGACTTTTAGCTTTACAAAAAATATCAGAATTACTATTTTTAATTCAGAAATAGGGTTTTTAGATATTTTCTTATTTTAATGACCCATTTACTCAAATCAAATATATCAAATGTTAAATTGATCACCAACGATCTTGTAATCGATCTCCTGAAAAGAATAGTAACATTTATCTACTACGAACTATGCGCAAGTGGATTCTGAACTGCATTTTTTTTTTTTTTTCAAATCACTGCTGACAGACTAATATTTCTTATGTAGGCTATGAAGCCTACAAAATGTGTACATACATGAATATATTTGGCCATATGCATTAAACTGTGTTATTCCATCAATGCGTAAAACATCATCAAATTCTTGATAGAAAATTGATAAAACTTACCCACTGTTTAAGTATAAGAACAAATTCCAAGCGATGCCAGAAAAAGTTCCTCAGTATTAAGATCGGTCTGAGTGCAATTAGCGCACTGGAATCATTTTCCATTCGATTCCATGTCCAGATTGTCTACGGTGATAAAAGCAGCTCCATCGGCTTGAGCGTTAAAAAAAAGGTGATGGATAGTCCGACCCGCAGTCTCCTCTCTCAACATAAGAGCAGGGCAGGCGCGCGCACTCCAGTTAACTTCACTGTTTAATCCTCCAGCATGAGAGCTGGAGAGGAAGTGCAGGGAGCGAACAGTGAAATCCTGCACTCTGGCGGCTACTTCAGTCAATTACAATTGGTGTGAGATCTTGTGAAAAGTACAGTATCTTGATGAATACAAGCAGGGCCTAAGCTAATCAATGCAGTAAAATGTTGGAATGATTTGGGGCCTAAGTCCCATGTCTGATGTCTTAACATGTCTGCCCACATGAGCACAACTACACGATTCATTTCCTTTTCAACTTTTTTCAGAGAAATATCAGTCTGTTTTCCTGTGTAAAATATATTAAAATAAAAGATAAGGGATCCAGAGTGAAGGGGCTTAGATACAGTCCACGATGAGATTAACATAAAAATAGGCATCTATTCTATTCTATTCTATTCTATTCTATTCTATTCTATTCTATTCTATTCTATTCTATTCTATTCTATTCTTGTCACAGTCATCGTCTGTGCCAGTCTGTCTTTGTCATCGCTACACTTCCATGGATCCTGCTTGTCTTCTCACCTGAACATGCACTTCCTCATTAGCCACCTGTTTTCTCGTCATGATGTATAGTTGTGTGAACTGAAGTCCTGGAATGTTTCCCTTCATCACTGTAAGTTACATGTAAATAAAGCATCTACATTGAGTTCCTTTGAGTTCCTATTCTATTCTATTCTATTCTATTCTATTCTATTCTATATCCTGTCTTGAATCGAGGCTCGTTGTGATGTTTTGAGATTTTTATGTGTCCTCTGTTCATCCATTCAATGCAATAGTTCTATTCTGAGTTTATTTCTTTATTCTGAGTTATTTAAACTTTTTAATCGAGATTCATATTCTCTTCACTGGCTTTATATATATATATATATGTTCTAGTCTTTGATTCAGGTGATTGAATTTGAGCTTTGATTCAGGCGATTGATGCTCAGTGGTCCACACTCCTTTCTGTTTTGCTTTAAGGTTTAATTTGTCAATAATAGTTAACTACTAGTTAACATTAACTAAATCCACGCAAGCATTTATTAATCTTAGTAAATGTTAATTTTAACGTTTAATAATACACGATTAAGATAAAAAGTTGTATTTGTTAATATTAGTTAATTCACTGTGAACTAACATGAACATTTAAATAGCAAAATGCATTAACAAAGGCTAAATGCTGTAAGAATATATTGTTAATTGTTAGTTGATTAAATGAGACCTTATTGTAAAATGTTACCGCTTTCTTTCCTTTAGGCTATTTAATGTCCTCTCATTTCCTTGCACAAAAAAAATAAATAAATAAAAATATTCTGAGTTTGTTGGTTCTATTTACCCCATGCATTGTTTGAAATGAAATGAACTGTGAGGCTTATAATAATTTATCAAAAACTTTATTGTATCTCATTATTTTCTTTTTTGTTCTATTTAATAACCACATCCAATGAATTGTATTCTAAATACTATATAGCCTATAATAACAATATAATTATTCTATTCTATTCTATTCAACACTCTTCAAAATAAAGATTCTAAAGCATGCCATAGAAGAATCCTTTTGGGTACCCCTAAGAACCTTTCAGTGAAAAGTTCATAAAAGAGCCTTATGAAGAATATTTTTTATTATCTAAAGAACCTTTTTTCCCCCACTATTAATAGGATTTTGTGCAACTAAAATGATCCATGGATGGTAAATGTTCTCTATGTAGCCATAGCTGCTAATAAAGTATCTTTTTTAGAAAAGATTTGATTGTACTCTATGTATCTGAGTTTGGGTCTGTGATTGCGGCTCACACAGTGGTCCACGCCCAGCAGAAAAGCAAGCTCGGCTCTGCGCGACACATCCGGGGCTCATTCAGGGGTGTCACTCAAGCCTGCGAAGATGGCGACGACAGGCAGAAATACACTCCTATCGGTTAGCTCAAATGTAAATAACAGCATATCCGAAAGCCAAAACCCCGAGGAGGATGACGGACAGAATTTATGGTAGGCCCAGCCAGTTCTTTTATCCCCCATTCAATCTCGGATGTTATGTGCAGAACGCGGCTTTAGGTGGCCCAGAGCCGCATGTGACAGTTGTTAGCCGCTAACTTGCAAATTACCCCAGCCGGGCAGGTACACACAGGCCAGTCTGAATCAATGATCGCAGGGATGCACAATGAATAAAGCAACGTGATTTAAAAGCTAACGCCACTCTGTGTTCCTTTGCGTTCAGGTCATCGATATTGAGTGAGGTGTCGACGCGCTCTCGATCAAAATTGCCGTCAGGAAAGAATGTGGTGGTTATGGGTGGGTGTATTTTTCTTCTTCTGTCACAAATAAATGCTGTTTCATGTCTGCTGTGCATCCCATTGACCTGCATCCAATGGCTCATTCATTATTATTAAAACGCATACAATGCTGACTGACTTGACGCTGCCGATCGCTCTAAACGCACTGTTATTGCAAGTGTGCTGTTATTGTTAATGAGTGCACGTCATTGTCTCCACTCCAGTCATCGCTGTCAGACACGGCGCACACAAAAGACAATAGTGTCTCTCGCGTGAATTTTATATAAATAAACAGACATCTATTTCGTCTCAACTATTTACTATATGACTGTCGGTTTTGTTGAATAGAGATAATCCGCACTCTCAGTCACGGGCTGTGTCTCAAACCCTACCGTGCAGCCTACCTAGACAGAATCGTAGGTGTGTTCCGATGAACAAAATGCTGCACTCGAACCGTATGGGATACTAAAAAGGCTGTATGTGTGCATATGATGCATAGAAAGTGCTATCTAGGCGTCTATGGTGACTGAAAATGATGTCTAGGTAGGCAGCTAGCTCACTAGTTTTTGAGACGCAGCCAGTGAATGGCTCATAAATGCTGCCTCAGTGGGTGCTCTTACTCATAGGGCGACAGACATGATGCTGTCATCTCTGATGAATATCTTTAAAAAATATATTTTTACTAGTATAATTAATTATTATTTTAAGGACTGTTACTTTTAACTATGCTCTGTGCATGTTTTTCTTTCTTACCATCTTAAGGTAATAATGCTTTATTTGTGAACTTTCTGGAGTTGTAATTTTAGTGTGCGGAGAGCAAACCTTTTTTGTTTTTCTCACCATATATAATCACATTTTGTTGTCTTTGACAAATACCCAAATTCACATTCAATTAAATTCACATTTATTTGTATTGCGCTTTTCACAATACACATCGTTTCAAAGCAGCTTTACAGAAAATGCTGTCCACATTACAATTTAGAGTGATCTGTTATCAGTGGTAACCTTTATAAGTTATGTATTTCAGAAATGTACATATACAAATCACACAGTTAGCTAAAAATGTATTAATTTAAGCAATTAATTAATTTAAGGTAAAAAAAAATGCTCATTAAAGTAATGAATACATATTTGCTAACAAATGATTGACATATAGAAAATTGTAGCATTATTCCATAAATTATCCATCTAAATATAATGAAAAAATACATTTATTTAAGAAATATAGTACCACCTGTTACAAATACTAAAAAAATGTAAATCATTATGCATTACACATTTTTCACTTTCAGTTGCATTTTTGCCCCAATCCCTGGTTAATTCCAGACCCTTGTTGTATGTTTTTTTTATTATTCACTTAAGGAGTAAATGTCTGTTAAAAAAATGATTAGCTATCAAGAGTTACATGTCTCTGTTTTGACTTTGTTGCAAAAGCTATAAAATTAAATCAGCCATTATAAAAGCACTACAGCCATTTATACAACTTTGAATTCACTTTCTCTGCGTGTTGTTATAACATCAGGTAAGACTAATGCAGCATGCTTATATATGTTTTTCAGAATCCAAAAGTATCCAAGCACCTAAATATTTAATATAATTGCCTGTGTGTTAATCTGACTTGTTTTACAGGTGAGGTGGGGTCCGGTAAGACCACCCTGGTTGCCAAACTACAAGGTGTAGAAGAGTATATGAAGGGACGTGGCTTAGAGTACCTGTATTTCAATGTTCACGATGATGATATTGATGGTAAGGATTAGACAGTCTACAGTTTGACCAAATATAGACAGTTTTTGATGTCTAACCTTAAATGACACTGAATCAAAATAGGCTGATTGTGATCCACTTCAAACAATCAATAGCTTTTAACACTGCAGTGTTTTGAACCAAATGTTTTAGTGGTTAGTAACCAGTAGTTAGTCATGCCCTCTGTTGAAATGGGACATTTGGGACAGTGTTGGTTGTAAACAATAATAAATGCCCTAATTGACCTCTGAGATCTCAAATTAATTAATTTTGATGCACCACTATGCATGGTTAGAGCCCGACCGATAAAGGATTTTGAAGGCCGATACCGATACAAATATTGGGGTTTTAAAATTCGATATTCCGATATATCAGCCTATATTTTATTTATTTATTTATTATTTTTTAAACTGGACATGATAGTCACAAATTTTGTCATGCTTATCTGAGTTAAGAGAACTGATGGGGATGTTCTTTTAATTGTTATTCAAGCAATGTATGTCTCGTGACCAACTCAGTGAGTGTTGCCAACAGGAACGGTGTAGAGTGCCCTCTACCACTAAACTATACAACTGCAACACTCATGACATGGTTCAAGCGTGTTTCGTCCATTTTTATTTTATTTTTGAAATATTCATTTATCGGCCATTATAATTGCCCATACCGATAGTTTGGAAAATGCCTAATATCGGCCGATAATATCGGTCTGCCGATATATCGGTCTGGCTCTAATCTAAAGTATAAATACCGTTACTGTTTTGCCAACTTAATTAAGCAAGACATTATCTGTTATCTGTGAGTATAGAGGCACCCTAATCGCCAACTTTAGGAAATTCAAAACAGGCATGCTAAAGCTAACAGAACTCTTTTTTGCAGATCATGCACGGTGTAATGCATGGGTGCTGGATGGGGACCTGTACCACAAAGGCCTGCAGAAGTTCGCCGTATCGACGGAGAATCTGGAGGACTCGCTGGTTATGTTTGTGGTGGATCTGTCCCGGCCCTGGCTGGCCATCGATTCGCTGCAGAAATGGGGCAGCGTGGTGAGGGATTTTGTGGACAAGCTCAGAGTTCCCCCTGAAACCATGAGAGAGCTGGAGCTCAGATGTGAGTAGCTCCTTTGTGTGTGCGTTGAGATTGTGAGCGCGTTCGCATGCCAAGTACCCTGTGAGAATGATCTAGTGTGGTGATGCATTTTGATCTGTGATGGTCCTTATAGATCGCTGCAGGCATTTCTTATACTTGCATGAATGAGTTTGTAAATAACCAATAGTAAATGCAGTTAGAATGTGACTGTGTGTGCATGCAGTGACAAAGCAGTTCCAGGAGTATATGGAACCAGGAAGTGACCTGGAGGCTGTGCCCCAGAGAAGGAATCCTGAGTCAGAGGAAGACAGTGTCCTGCTACCGCTGGGAGATAACACACTCACACACAACCTGGGCCTGCCTATAGTGGTGGTCTGCACTAAGGTACACCTGCTGCCTCAAACTACTCCTGACATGAAATAAATTGTATTTAAAAGAGCAACTATAACATCAGATGCATTTATACACTATTATTTGCATTTAAAATGTTATATTTGAATATATATTTTAAACTGTGATGGCAAAGCTGAATTTTCAGAAAGCTTTACTCTAGTCTTCATTGTCATCGGAAATCATTCTAATATGCTGATTTGATTCGGTGCTCAAGAAACAGTTTAATTAATATACATGTTAAAAGAACAGAATTTATAACAACCTTGTGAATTTAATGCATCTTTGCTGAATAAAAATATGAATTTCTTTAAAATAAAAAAACTGACCCCAAATGTTTGAACATTATTGTATTTATGTTATTAGCAGTTTGAATGACACTTTGAGTGAAAAGTTTACATTTTACCTTTTGTACATAGTAGTTTACATCTTCAATGTCACAAATGTCATTGGTAAACTAGAAAGGGTGCAGAATTTATTTCTAATTCTTTTACTTTTTCATTATTTAAAAAAAAATTTCGGAATCTTAAAGCCTTTAGTTTATTGCATTGGATTTCGCCAATGTGCTCTCAGACTATTGGACCACACGTATTTCAAAGAATATGATCATCTTGCCATTTCTGTCTGTTGTTTACCAAGATGATTTTGCTTTTACTATAAGCCCCAAATATATCAAGTTACAAAACAAGGATGGACTAAAATATTAATGGAGAATCCCTTTCATAATTCTCTCTCTCTTTCTTTGTCTGTAGTGTGATGCGATCAGCACTTTGGAGAAGGAGCACGATTATAAAGACGAGCACTTAGACTTCATCCAGTCTCACATTCGACGTTTCTGCTTGCAGTGTATCCTTACACATCAGCACATCTAAACCAAAGATGTAATGAAAATTATATTTCACTCTGCACATCATAATCAGCTGATGGCCAGGCTATTTCCATGTTCAGTTTTGTCAAGAGTAGGGCAGTGTGATTAATCGTAAAACTATTTTGTTGCACATTCCATCCAACGCACCTTCCTTTCCTTCACAGTAGTGCGCTCTTCATGCCAAAGCAGCCAAATAAGTTAGCATTGTAAAATGCAGTCTACTGTTTGATATTAAACCGTGTTATTAAAAGCAAAAAGAGAGACTGGTGCACAGACAGCTTTCTGCCGAACACAGATAAGCAAAAGGGCTTTTTGGAAAGTATTCACGTAAACACATAACAGTGGATAATGTCTTGACTAGTAAACGTACACAGTTGAGAAAGAAAACGCACGTGTAAGAGTATTTTGGATCCATGTATTAGCTCTTAAAGTGACAGCAGCCCTGAAATACCTACCGCAGTATGTCATTAATAAGCAAACAACAAATGACAAAGGAAAATCACTCGCTAATCTTGACCGAATAACTTAAGTATAAGGATTAATCTGCATTTAATGTGTACAGTAAGACTAAACAGTGTAACTTTACATTTGGTTATTACATTTTTTGTTACGCTATTATCTGAGTACTGTTAGATTTTCCTGAAAAACTTAAAAAAACACTGTTTATTTAATTTGTATTTTTGTTCTATTGTATTTATTAGTCTGTTTTGCTTGGAATTAGTTTTTTTTCTTATTGTATTACTGACTGTTTAGTTGTCTTATGTAATTATTTTGAGGGCTAGGATTATTTTTTGCCGATCATTTTGAAATTTCACTGATACATGAAATGACTGATATTGTACAATAAGACTTGAATCATATTGCCCGCCAATGATTGTGTTAAATAATTTTTATATTTACGGAAAAAATTGATTTTAATATTGACCAAAACTACTTAATGTTATGATTATTAGTCTGTTTTGCTTGGAATTGGTTTTTGTTCTTATTGAATTACTGACTGTTTACTTGTCTTATGTAATTATTTTGAGGGCTAGGATTATTTTTGCCGATCATTTTGAAATTTCACTGATATATGAAATGACTGATATTGTATAATAAGACTTGAATCATATTGCCCGCCAATGATTGTGTTAAATAATTTTTATATTTAATGAAAAAATTGATTTTAATATTGACCAAAACTACTTAATGTTATGATTTTTTCCCACAATTAAGCATGGCTCGTCAGAAGTGTACATTTGTGTGCATCTGAATACAACAATGTTCTTTAGATGTGCTGCATCTTAAATTCGCCGTAAAATCAATATTTGCATTTTTTTTGTACTTATTATAAATGATTTATCCATGCACATATGCCTTTGTAATCTTTAATGAAAAAACGTCTATATATTCTCCACAACTGACTGAAAACTGACATTCAGATCTGGATATACGTCACAATAGGGAAGAGCAGAGTATGCAACTTCCGTTGACTTTAATGTCTTTTTTACAGTAGAGGATGGTAACATGATCAGCTGACCTACCATAATGGCTGCTTTCCCAAAAATCTGGGAAAATGTGTCTGCTTAAATGTAACCTCGTCTTGTTTTTCTCCTTCACAAGTGACCTTTCAGATGGGGCAGCACTACTCTACACATCTATGAAGGAGAACAAAAATCTAGATTTGTTATATAAATACCTCGTTCACAGGTTATACGGCTTTCCCTTCAACATCCCAGCTCAGGTGGTAGAGAAAGACTCTGTGTTTATGTAAGTAGTTTGATGTCAAGAAAAATGTTGATTTTTAGTTTACTACTAAAGTCGGCACATGGAATCAAAATCAATGTTTATAATTTTTTGTTATGTAAAAAATAATACATTTTATTAATATATATTTTAATTCACCTGGAATTTATCATATTGGTGTAAAAGTGTATGTCATTCAAATGTTTCTTTAAATGGTAAATGTATTCATATCATCTGTGTCTCACTTTCAGTCCGTCAGGATGGGACAATGAAAAAAAGATCGCAATTCTGCATGAAAATTTCCAGTCAGTAAAAGCAGATGACAACTTTGAAGATATAATAGTGAAACCTCCCATAAGAAAGGTAAAGGCTCGGCCCTCATTAGATCTTTAGAGTCTCTCTTTCTTAGCGACTGCTCATTTCTGACATGTCTTTCTAGTTTGTACATGAGAAGGAAGTTCAAGCTGAAGATGACCAGGTTTTTCTACTAAAGTTGCAGGTAATTTCTAAATATTTTATAATATCATCATCATTAAAAAAAAATCTTAATTTATTCTCCAAAGTGCCTGGGTGGTGTGATGTTTTATTCTTAAACTTGTAATTGTATACATAGATTACCGTTCAAGTTTTGGGATTTTTTTTAATAATAATATTGTGAAGTATGTTTTCATTTTAAAATAACTTTTAATGTATTTAAAAATATATATATAGTATAGTATATATAATATAGTTTACTAATGTGATGGCAAAGCTGAATGTATACAAAGATGAATATAAAGTAAAATATATATATACTCCCTCTCTCACCCACACACACACACACACGTTTACTTGGGTATCAAAATGGGGACATTCCCTAGACTTAATTGTTCCCATCACACAAAACCTTCTGCATTTTTACATTTAAAAAACAAAACAAAAAACTTGAATAACTTTTTATATTTTAAATTATTATTTTTATACCAGATTTACAAATGAGGACGTAACTAAAGGGAGATTTTTGGAGATTTTGTCAGGTTTGGGTCACTTCTGGGTACACATTTGTCCACAAAACATAGTTAAGTAGGTACACACACAGACAGAAACATTATCCAAATATTTAATTTTCCTGTCTGTGGCATAAAGTGAGATTCAGTGAGACTGTAACTCACTATTTATAAGTCTAGTGAACCTGAGAAGTTTTGTTAGTGATACACAAAACTTTTTTGTCAAACAAATCGGACAGAAATATGAAATAATCTCTGAATGATTTTACTGTCTTCCTTCTGTTCTCAGTCTCTGTTATCTAAACAGCCTCCAGTCAGTGCAGGAAGACCCGTGGTGAGTGTTTTACATGTGCTCCATTTACATTTCAGCCCACAGTGTTACTCAACGTTGAATCATGCTTTGGGTGGAGACCTTTAGAAATTTGCAGACACTTTAATCCAAAGCAATTTAAGTAAAGATCAATACTAAATATTGCACAATGTTTACATGTGACTTACATGTGACTACAGATTTACTCCTTTAGTTAATCTTTCCTATTATAAAGTTTTCATAATCCTAAAACATTTCTGTATGTGTGTGTAATAGGACCCAACAAACAGAGCTCCCACCGGCTCACCAAGGACGACCAACCGTTCTGCGGCGGCTAATGTGGCAAACGTCATGCCCATGCAATCAGGTACCAAGAAGATTGATCCCAACATGAAAGGTGTGTATAAGAACGCTGTATTCAGGATGCATGCCTCCATCTTCTCTCCACCAAGTTTCTCTCTGTATCCTGCTCTCTATTTACTCTCCTCGGCTACATCTTTCCAACTTTGGGAGCAAGAGCTTTTGGAGTCACACCTTTCTACTTCCTGGGCATTTATTTTTTCAAGTCCTTGGATCTGGTTTCCTGGTTTTCACCATCCTCTCATTTTGGGAAAAAAAAACTAACATTTGACCTTCAACAAGAGATCTTATCCTCTTTTTTGTGGCAAAGCTTATTTATTTAGCTTTGTGGGAAAACTTCAGTTTGTTTTGGGCTACAGTGATCATGAATACACTTTCAGTGTCTCCAGAGTTTGTGTTTCAGGATCTCTTCCTGAATGCAGATAAGGAGGACTCTACTCTCTTGGTTTTAGATCATAGGAACATCGCTGCCATGTTTGGAGAGGATTAGAAAAGCTTGTTGGGATTAAAGCTTGTTTCCTTGCTGAATTTCTCTAAGACTTTCATTTTGACCTCACATCCTTTAAACACATTTTTAATTCCAGCTTAGGGTCTGGTACTGTTTTGCACTGATCTGAAATTAGTTTAAGCTAGTTTCAGCTTGTATGATTGTGCTAATTATTGTCATTTCTCATGGCAGGAGGTCAGACAAGTGAGGGCGTGCTGGCTAACTTCTTCAACAGTCTATTGACTAAGAAAGCAGGCTCCCCCGGCCCAGGCGGCCAACCTACAGGAGGAGGGAGCAACACGCCAGGAACAGTCCGCAAGTCAGGTGAGGGATCCTCCTTGACACTATATCACTCACACATTCATATAAATGTCCACTATCATGCTATTATATGTGAAGTGTTTTGACTTTTTGTATATCAACAACAGAAAATTCTGTAAAAAAACAGTTTTACACGTTACGCAATGGAAGTGTTGTCGTGCATGACTCCTAGCGTTACCACCATGCTTGATTAACCAATTGACCCTTCGCTAAGCCCCGCCCTCCCTAGTTACTGTTGCTACGCCTGTCAAGCTTTCGCGGCTGGCCCATCTATTATAGTGTGGATGCACCCGGTATCAGAAATTTCAATAAGATAATTAGTAATTTTCGGCGAACAAGTGAAATATCTGAGAGAGCAAGACAAAAGGGACTACAGTATGCATTCGAGGGATATATTCACGACATTATATGCAACCGATTAGAGAATAATTTCTTAAAAATTGAAGTTAAAGTCTAACGTTATAGTCCCAGCGCAAGCAGCAGCGTTGACCGTTCAAATGGGAAACACAAATTGAGTAACAGCTGTTTATACACAGCAGCAGGGTATGTGAAAATAATCGTAATAATTATAAATCAAACAGCTTATCAATAAATCTTGTGGAATAACACTAATACCAGGAGAGCCGCGATCGGATTGGGTCAAGTTAAGGGGAAACGTTAGTAGGACGTCGATTAACAAAATGCTGAAATATATTTTAAAGTGTCAGTGAGCCTTTGTCTTGTCTCTTTAATCGTCTTATTTTACGTTATCATTATGACCAAAGAACCGTCAATATTTCCAAGCAATAACGTTAGGTGTTTTTGTTAAGCATGTCGACATTTACCAGTAGTTAGTTGTGAATGGGTCTCGCACATAGATGCTAGATCACGCCAATCATTTTTCCCCTTGGCTTTTAGATTTTCTGGAAGGAAAACAACTCCTCTCCCCCGTCCAAACTTTTATTATACCGGTATCAGATTTGCACAATCCATACGCACAATGCCTCAGCATGTTTCCCTCGTTCGAAAGCTTGCCAGACCTCCCGCGCATAGTTACGGTTGCTAAGACATGATTGGCCAGTGGCGGTTTTCGGGCGTGGCTTAGCGAAGGGTCAATTGGGTCCCACTTTATATTAAGTGGCTTACATCGAAAAATAAGTACAATGTACTTATTGTGTTCATGTTGTATTGTAAAACACTTTTGCTGCTATTGAGATGTGATATGGGTGAGTTTAAGGCCTCATTATGCTTCTGCGTCAACTCGGCGTAGCTACGTCGTCACTCCTACGGCATCTTGGCCGTTTTATGCTTCTGCGTCAGGTTGCGTTGCATTTCACCGCCAGAATGCTAGGGAGATGTGTGGTTCGCGAATCTCTTTGCTAGTTTGTTTTGGTTCCGCTTTTTCACTTCCGACAATGGCAAGCGAAAGAGAGTGAATGTTGTTGCAGCTGGAGCTAATAGACGACGCAAACTTTGTCCCCATAGAACCAACACGGATGTCCAGGGCCCGTTACACCCGGGCTGCCATAGCAGTTCGGAATGACTTGACGGCTTTTTTTCAGTCTCCACATGGAACTGAACTGTGCTATGGCAGGATAATGTAGTGTCCTGTGGCAGACTTAGTTAGTTACTGTATTATCAATGATGTAACCGTGAACAACACGGAAAAAAACAACAAACTGTGTTTTAAAACAAACGTTGATTTATTGATTGATTGCTTATTATTGAAAAGAATATAGACGTATATATTAACAATGAAATAAAAAAACAACAGTTTATTTTTAGTTTAATTCTTTATTTACTTTCTTTATAAGTGTATTATAATTATCAGTACGAGGGTGCAAATGTTAAAAATGGCGCTATAGCAGGAGGGGGAAACTGGAAAAGCTACACTCCTGAAATGATGTATAATCTGACCAATCACAGCCCTTGCTGTCTGCGTCGCCTCGATGCGTAGTTACAAATTTTTGAGGTGCATGTCGAGCTACGGCGGAGGGGTCGTAGAGGGGTTCGCGTCGACGCAGAGGGGTCTTGCAGGGGTACGCCGTCGATTCGACGCAGAAGCATAAAACAGGCTTTAGGGACAGGTGTAGGGTTGCAACGGTATGAGATTTTCACGGTATGATAATCGTCTCAGAAAATATCACGGTTTCACGGTTTCACGGTATACGATATTAAAACTATCATTATTATAATCAGCATCAGCTACAATGGCCCTTAAATGAATAAAAACAGATATTGTTTTTGGTTGAACATGGTTTATTGTAACAAAGGTTTTTTCAATAGAGTCTTTATGAAATGTATATTTATTTCCTCAGAAATTCTGGGTTGTCTGAAATAACTGATCTGGATTCTGTGATTGAATACAAAATGTATTTTTGAGAATGCAATCAGATAAAATGTAACAACTTTAGTTTGTCTACACAAGAGAAGTTTAATAAATTAAAACATGGACAAAAAAACTATACACAATAGTAATATATTTTAATCATAGGCTAAACCAAACTTTTTTTTTCCAGGTTGTAGGGGAGAGCGGGGCACAACCTAACGCTTTTTGCTTTTGGCTCAATTAATTAAAAAATAATTAGGTTAGATTAATACTTTTTTTTACACAAGCAACATGCACATCTCTGCTACAAATGAACACTTAAAGTTTTTTTCTAGGACCTACCATTTTCGTACAGTTGGACTGAAAGTGACAGAAGTGCAAATGTTACAACTTACCCCATATGCGGGGTTAATTGTAACAGAGAGAGGGGTTAGTTGTAACACTTGTGTGTAACACACATAATTCAGTACTATTTTATTTGTATAGTTTGATATTGTTTGTGCATCTGCATAGACAGATATCCATACATATCCCTCATCCAATCATCCTTCTATTATGGATCAATATCATGGATAGAGACATAGAAAAGGGCTGCATAATTTTGCAATAAATAATAATAAATAAAATTATAAATATTGTAATTGCAATTAAATTAGATTTGTGTGTGGCAGCTGCATGATGTACAATTATTATTATTATTATTAATAACAGTAATGATAATACAAATTAGCTTAAAATAAAAATTTAAAGGGTTTATTGCATTAATAACAGGCCATTTATTTGTTTTAATAAATAAACAAGTTATCATTCATAGAACACTAAATTTTAAACATTTTAAATCCCAACATTGTTTGTGAACGTCTAACAAAGTTAAATGTATACTCAAACCTGAAAAGTTGTGTGGCTCCATTTTCATTTGATTATCATTGTACACTTGGAGGCTTAGTTGTACCACTCTGTTAGAATTAACCCCGCTGTGTATTACATATTTTAAACCTAGCTAACAGTCGCTAGGAATTGCTGACATGTTTCAAAACGGTGCTATGTTTGAGCCAACAAGACCAGTAGCACCTCAATGCAGAACATGAGATCCACGGGGAGGAGTCGGATCACGATCCAAGGGGTGGAGATGGTTAGGATTAGGGTTGGGTTTAGGGATTAGGGGTGGGTTTAGGGATCAGGGGGCGGAGTTGGTTAGGTTTAGGTGTATGGAAGGTGGGAGGAGTTGGATCTGGATCCGACTCCTCCCCATGGATTTCATGTTCCGCAGTGAGGACCATCTCAACAAGACGGTGATTAAGGCAATATAAAGTTAGATTTGGAAACGTATACACCCAACTCAGAAACCGAAAAAAACCTATGATGAAAAAAATTACTTTATGGTGTCAAAACACTCTTTGTCCAGTATCTTCACGAAATATAATCAAAACTTTCCGCAAATTCACGGGAGACCGTCTTCTGGCAGCAAGAGAAAAATAGCGGAAAGACAGCCTGCTTGATCCTGACGAACTGTGTAAACGGTCCGTGTTACATTTAACCCCGCGTTAACACCTACTGAACACCTATGAGTTTCAGTCAGTGTATTTGATGATTATTCTTTAAAAAAATAATTATAAAGTGCACATTAAGTGTTCTCTGTCTAGATATGTTCATGTGTTCACGTCTTCAGTGGCTGAGACAGCTTTAAAAACCATGAGCGTCATGCGTACTTGAGTGTGTACTAGATCTACTAGACGAAACGGCGCTGCTCATTCAGAGACACGCTGAATATAGAAGGGGCTTGCACACCAGTCTTTTTGCGTTGTAGCCTATATTCACAGACACGCACATCGCGATTTGATTTAGGCTACTGCATAGCTATATTTTGCTTTATTTATCCATCTATCTTTTTAAATCGCACATTTTACGTGGCATCTGTTTTGTAACGCAAAAAGACGCATGTGTGCGTCTTTTTGACAGACCGGGATTCCCTCAGCATGACAGAAATAATATGGCCTTAAGTTATAAAAGTTATGAATAACCTTTATCTTCACGGAGGGATGGTGTTCCTAAATATGGGAGAACATGTTCGACGTGTTTACTCCTTTTGCAGCCACTCTTCGTCCACATATCTTGCAAACTGGATATCCATCTTCAAGGACAACATCACGATCGTTTTTCGGATATAAGTTACAAAATATTCCCATACTGCAGATTTTATTTATTTTTTTTGGCGGGAGATAGAGATTCGCAGCCTCTGTCTCGGACATTTTCAGCGCTGTACGGATATGGAGTAAGCAGTCAAGCTGAAAGAAGTTGCATGCGGCAGTGCAGGTGAATTCTGTTTTTTTTTTTTTTTTTTTACCGCGGATAAGCAAATGTGCACGATATGATAATCGTACATGTCAATATCGCGATAAACCGTCATACCGGTATACCGTTACAACCCTAGACAGGTGTGGTGGTATGGGTAGGTTTAAGGGGTGGGTTAAGGTGTAAGGGGAAGGTTAACAGTATAATTACGAATGTAATTACATAAATGAATTACAGCTGTAATTACATGCTGGTATTTCTAAAATATAAGTACATTTCAATGTAATTACATAGTTCTTAAAGCCACTTAATATAAAGTGGGACCAACAATGGTATGTTTCCATCCAAAGTTGTCTCTTGACTTCCTGCATCATAAATGACTTGCGCCTCAGAATGTGCAGAT